ATATATATATATATATATATATATATATATATATATATATATATATATATTAAATATACAATAAACACAAATAGTGAATATCTAAGTAAGTGAGGGTTCAGATTGAGGGGGACAGAAGACATCATTAGCTCAATATAAAAACAAGAGATGTCAATGGAAAATAATAGAAAACCCACCATTATAGAAAAACAAGCGCGTATGTGGCATGCTGGGTCAGGTCATGCGATGTGTTTCGAGATTTAAAGGTCACGTCAGTGGGCTTCAGAAGCCTGGTATCAGTTCCTTCCAGTTGTGGTTTACAGTTTTTTGTGGGTTATAAATTGTTATGCAACTGTGTAATTACAATTTTTTTTGTAATTGCTCAATGCTGCTACTACTTTCTCTTCTACTTTCCCCGTTTTGATCTCTGATCTTATTCATGTGTTAGACTATTAATCCTCATACTGCAATCTTATATGTGTCTATCAGTAATCCATCAAAAGGACCGGAACTGAGCAATATCATGGCCCCAGAGGAAACTGCACTCGGTGACAAGAGTGACAGACAGCGGGAGGAAATGAAAGAGGCAGACACAGACTCTCCTGATGGATTTGCTGCAGTACCATCAGTCGGTCAGCGGAGGGCACGAGAGAAACACAGATACAACACCGTAGGCTACCAGGTACCGAGTTCATTCTAGATGATCATTTAGCACTGGATCATGCTTGCATCAGGTGCGTTCATCTAAACTGACTTTTAATGCATTGTAGATAGTCAAAAATGTCATGGGGTACTACGGTTCTGATATCATAATGAAGAAAAAAGGCCTAATAAAAAGATGAAATTCTTGAAAGGAAAATCTTATGTAGTTAAGCATGTTTATTAGCAAAAATCTTTTGTTATGTGGTGCAAACAACAAAGTCAAGTGGTGCGACAAAAGTGCTGATAAAATCAAAAAAGGAAATGATATCATGGCCAATAAGTCTCATAAAATAATAGTCTATTTATGACATGATAAGGTTAGTTCAAGTTATGTAAAATATTGTATGGAACAACCTTCCAATATGGAGCTCCAAATTGCTCAAAATTAAATAGTAATAAAAAATTAAATATTGAAATAAATAATTATATTTAATTTATTATCATTATTGTTAAATAGTTAATAAAAGCACAAAAATGCAGTGCAGTCATGCTGACTACAAAACTTCAAAAAACGTGGGTTAATCAGGCTTTAGCGGATTTCTGTCAATTCGGCTTGTCACATTTAACAATTTTGTTTTGTCAGAAAAAGAAGCAGAGGACAGCTGTGGACTTTTCTACAGTGAGCAAGGGAACATCTGCCGGGGTGAAGAGCAGAGTTGCATTAAAGCAGGCACTTTTTAGCCA